CATAGCATACCTTGGTACAGAATGAGAGTCGACCGGCTCTGCTGTCCTGAGGGGAGACACAGGAGCTAAGCCCCCCGCCTGCGCCCATACACAACAGTTCCCCACATCCTCCTGAGCCTCCGTAAGCATCCTGAGGTCCCTTGAGGTCTTTTCCAGTAACCTCTTAGTCCTCATTTGTCCTAAATCATCTTAAAGGGAAGTGAGACAAAAGGGAAAAATTAATCCTAAGCCATGACCTCTCAAAGATCCCACATCCCACGGGACAAGTTCTTCCTATTTCCCTCTTAGTGCTTCCTCCTGCAGTCTGTTTTGTTCTCTGAGTCAGCAAGTCAGAGTGAACTGAATAAAGCACTGTATTTCTCGAAGCCTCCTGTGTCAAACAGAATATTCCTGCCAATTTCAAGAGTTGTCTTGATGAGAAAATGAAGCTGAGTGTTATTTGCTCCAGGAGCTGATTGTTAACTGTTCAGGACTTTGGCCAGTCCTCGAACCACTGACAGCCTGAAATCAGCTGTGGTGAATTTATACCACAGGAATCAGCAAACACTATAAATCAGAGTTGCTTTATTTTTCTGGAGAGACTGTATACTAGCCCACCACTGAAATAAAGTTCATGACTCCAAATGTGTGTGTGTGTGTGTGCACACGCGTGCATGTGTGTGTGTGCATGGAGATAGGTATATATCTCATAAGCCCTAAGCTATCCAGTGAACTCCAGACTGGAATATTCGACTGCCTACTCACAGACCCACATGGTTGCCTAACAGGCATTTCAGCTTAGCATGGTCAAAACACAGCTCCTGATTTCCATCCACTGTCTAAACCAACTCCTAACCCTATTGTCCCTAGTGCATTAAATGGCCCCCATGTCCAATGTCCACTCAGCAGCTCGGACCACAAACCTAGGAGTCCTTGATTTCTCTTTCCCAATTTCCCCACCAAATCTATCAGTAGTCCCCTAAGTGGCTTCCCAGCTTCTGCTCTCATTCCCCACTGTCTACTTTCTATCCAGCAGCCAAGGTGATCTTTTCATAACATAAATTTGATTGTGTCTCATCTCTGCTTAAAACTCTCCCAACAGCTTGCCACTGCAGTTTGAATATGATTCCAAGTCCTTCCCATATAGCCTACAGGAGCCCACCCTATCAACCCCCACGTCCTTCCCACCTCACTTTGGATTGCTCTCCTCAACCTTGGTAGCTTCCTTGCTGTGCCTCAAAATGACCATGCCCGTTGCTGCCTCAGGGCCTTTGCACTTCCTGTTCCTTCTGTCTAGAAGGCTCTTCCCCTGAGTCTTTGCAGAGCTGACGCCTTTCGAGCCTGAATGTCATCTCCTCACAGAGGCCTTCCCTGACTACCTGACTCTCTCTAGTGTACCTAATACCTGATATATTCTCATTTATTTCCTGCCTCTCCCCACGAGAATGTAAACTCTCTGAGAGCATGTGCTATAATTTTTATTCACCACCATGTCCCCAGTACCTAGAACCATGTGTGGTATATAGTAGATACTCAATATGTATTTGTTGAAGAAATAAATGTCATGAAGACACTAGGTAAAAGGCTGTTTCTTCAAAAGATGCTGGGAATCCTTCCTCCCCCCCCCCCCCTTGCTTGGGGATGAGAGGGGGAGTGGAGAGGACTATGACTTCACCCATTTTAGTATCTTGCAGGACACCCCAAATGGGCCCTTCTAAAGGGAAGTTCTTGCCAGATAAGGGTTTATCATATCCTTTGCACACTCTTCCTACCCGCAGAAGAAAACCACACACAAGGCAGGATGTCATCTCCTTTTCTGACGTTTGTGTGAACATTATTTCAATTTCCAGAAATTGTTAATAAGAGGCAGAATCCAACATGATAGCGCCACCCCACCCCATGTGCCTCTTGTTTCCCCCTAAACGCGCCTAGTGAGCTTCTGGCACAGAGAAGTCACTTGAAAGATCGAGAAATTCCGGCTGAAACTATTGAGCCTTGCGGATGGCAGTTTCACCTACTTAAATCATAAGCCTTTCACAGTTAACTGAGCACCAGTTTTAGCGTTGGGCTAACTTGGATTCAAATTCTGTCGGCCACTTCTAGCCGTGTGATGCAGGGCAAGGTACGGCACCGGGCCTGCACTTCGGTTCCTCACACGTAAAGCGGGGTGGAAAATAGACCGCAGAGGTCCTTATGAGAATCAATGCTGGCACTTCTTTCGCAACGTCAGTTTTCCCTCTTGCCATTCATCTCCCCCTGAATTTCTAAATTTCCCTGGGAAACGAGAGTCCCCAGGGGGCCTCCCTATCTCACTTTCTTTCTTGGGGGCCACAAGCCTTTGCTCTGAGGTGTCTGACAGGAAGCTCTGAGTCGACAAAGGGAATCCAGGTGCTGAAGTGAAGCCACAGACAATGGATGCGTTGAGCAGGGAGCAAGCGATGGGTCTTTGTTCAGCACAAAGCTCAGCGGTCCTACCCCCTCTCTCGCATACAGCCACCCTGGCCGGCCTGCGCCGGCCCCATCCACGCAGGGGATGAGGAAGGCCGGAGGACACCGCTGGCTTCCCACCTGCCCTCCACCCTCACTGGGGGGCCTGCTTGCCAGGAAGTCATCTCTGGGGGCAGTCTGCAGGAGAAGCCCGGCGCCAGGCTGTGCGGGGCTGCCTGCGCCCACACCACGCGCCGGGAGACTGGGGAGGGGAGGCAGACCCCGCCCCCCGCCCCCCCCCACCGGGAAGTCCCACCTGCCCAGGGTGCCGGAGAGCTCTGGGAAGACCTGGACTGTGGCGGGCAAGAGCCCTAATTTGGGAATCAGAAACCCAGAGACTGGCGCTGGTCCTGCCAGCCTCGCTGAATCAATGCAACAAGTTACTCCACTTGTCTAGGACTCAGTTTCCCATCCTGTTCTCTCTGGGGCTCCCGAGTATCTCGGCCTCTCGGCTCTCAACCGTCCAAGTCCACTAGGGGGGTCTCGGAAGCCTGAAGGCTGGGGCCCGCGCACCTTCCCGCCGCGTCCCTCGCGCAGCCCCGGCTCCCCGCTCGCCCTCGCCCTGAGCTCACCGAGCTGCGCTCCGAGGTGCGCGCTTCCGGCTGGGGCGGCGGCGCCTCGTCCACGGGGGCCCGGGGCGCTCCGGGGGACGCGGCCATGGCGCACGGCAGCTCCGCCCGCGGCCCTGCGGCGTTATCGCCCGGCCTGCGCCCCGGCTTCCGCGGGGAGGGCGGCTCCGGGGGCCGAGTGGGCGCGGCGCGGCGAGGGGCGGGCCGCGGGCCACGCGGGGGACGGCGGGGAGCCGCGAAGGGCGCTGTTCCATTTCCCCCAAGAGCCCGAACTCGCCGGGGGGTGGGGCTGGAGGGTAAAGGCCGTTAAGTCCCTTGGGACTTCTGTCCTGGGGGCAGGTCCCCGAGGGAGTGAGAGCCAGCGCCGGTTCGCGCTGAACACCCTGCAAGTGAAAAACCGCCAGATCCATTTATTTGAAAAACGAAGCAATGGAATTGACTTGCTTAGACTATGGCTGAACAGGTTCACAACCTACATTTGATACAAGATGCCTGAAACACACATTGCCCAGCCTCTCGCAGATGAGATGGGTGTAGCCACGTAACTCAGTTCAGCCGGTGAATGAGAGCAGAGCAGCGTACCTGCAGTTTGCCAGGAAAGTCTTTCAAAGGGAAGGGGTCACATCGCACACAAAAAGTAACCGAAAATGCACCAAAGACCTAAGTGTAAAGGCTAAATAAAACGATAAAACATCTACTATAAAACATCTCGAAGGGGTGCCTGGGTGGCTCAGTCGTTAAGCATCTGCCTTCGGCTCAGGTCACGATCCCAGAGTCCTGGGATTGAGCCCCACGTCGGGCTCTCTGCTCAGTGGGGAGTCTGTTTCTCCCTCCACCCCTCCCCCTGCTTGTGTTCCCTTTCTCGCTGTGTCTGTCAAATAAATTAAAAAAAAAAAAAATCTTTAAAAAAAGAAAACAGGAGCAAATCTTCATAACCTAGGGTTAGACAACTGTTTCTTATGACACAAGTTGGACTAGCTAAACGAACAATTTTGTGTTGCAAACCACCCAACAAGTGAAAAGATGACCCACCAAATGGGAGAATTATCTGCAAATCTTAAAGAATGGTACTGGAATATTATAAAGAACTCCTTCAACTCAACAATAAAAGACAACCCAATTTAAAAATGGGCAAAGGATTTCTATAGGTAATTTCTCCAAAGACAGACAATGAGCACATGAAAAGATGCTTATGTCATTAATACAAAATTACAAAATACACCACTGGACGCCTAGGATTAAAATGGCCAACAGGAACAAGCACTGGGGAGGGTGTGGAGAAGTCACACCTTCCTAGTGGACATGTTAACCGGCGGAGGCACTATGGAACTCTGCCTCTTCAGAAAGTTAAACCTGGAATCACCTTATGACCCAGCAATTCTTCCTAACTATATACCTTAGGAAAAAACATGTTCACACAAAAACTTGAACACAAATGTTCATAGCAACATTATTTATAACCCAAAGTGAAACCCAAATGTCCATCAACTGATGGATAAATGTATATCCATACAATGGACTAGTATTCCACAATAAAAAGAACATGGATGAACTTTGGAAACCTTAAATGAAAAGAGGCAAAAACCATATATTGTATGATTCCATTTATATGCAATGTCCAGTAGAGGTAAATCTGCAGACAGAATTTAGATTTGTGGTTGCCTAGGACTTTGGGTAGAGAATGAGTACAGGGCTGAACACAGGATGAAAATATTCTAAAGTTAGATTGTAGTGGTGGTTGCACAATCCTGTCTACACTAAAAGTCACCGAACTGTACACTTTAATTGGGTAAATGGTAAGGTGTGTGAATTATATCCCAATAAAGCTGTTTTTGTGTTTTTTAAAAGGCAAGGTGTGTGCTTCTTCCCATTGGATGGAATGCAGATGTGACTAAGTGCTAGAGCAGCTCTCTTGTGGCCTTGGGTTAAGTGCTGGTATCAGCAGATGAACAACACAGGAGTCTGAAGTTTTACGAAGTTGATCTACCAGTTCTGAATTGCTTCCCTCTGGACTTTTGCATGGAAATAAATAAAATTTTGTTTTGTAAGTCACTATTAGACTTTTCTGTCACAGATAAATATAATCCTAAAGTATATACTGCCCAGTCTAAATCATTTTCTATGCCTCAATTATTTTTTCTAAAGAGGTATAATTGACATATAACAGTATACTAGTTTCAGGTGTACAAAGTAATGATTCAGTATTTGTATACACTGCAAATATGCCTCAATTCTTTAACCTACAAAATGGGTACCTCCTGTTTTCTTGATTGCAGCCTTATCAACAGTGGAAGGATAATTAGATAATGCATGTGCTAAATGTTTAAGTCCTTGGAAACTTAAACTCAAGCTTAAGTTTCTTTGGATAATCTACTTTCACATACATCATTTTATAGCATTTTTAGGTCTGGAAGCACTTCATTCCCAACATTTGTACTTTGCTGCATATACTACCACAATTTTAAAATTTTAAGAAGTAAAAAAAGAAACCCTGCATCTTTTTTTTTTTTGCCCCCTGCACAAAAATGTAATTAAAAGGCATTTGTTGCTGGGGCGCCTGGGTGGCTCAGATGGTTAAGCGTCTGCCTTCGGCTCGGGTCATGATCTCAGGGTCCTGGGATCGAGTCCCGCATCGGGCTCCCTGCTCCTTGGGAGCCTGCTTCTCCCTCTGCCTCTCTCTGTCTGTCTCTCATGAATAAAAAAAAAAAAAAGAAGGCATTTGTTGCTAACAGCTATTATTCTAGTTAAAATGATGCCATATTCTGAATGTAATTTTTAAAGACAAATACGTTAGACTTCAATAGATAAAATAGCATTACAATAACCAAGAAGCCTGCCTTTTAATTAATACAAAACACTGATTCACTTAAAAATACCTGAAAGGATGTACACCAAAATGTTATTAGTGGTTATATTATTTGAAAGGTGAAATTGGTGATTTAAAGATCATTCGAGCATTTTACAATTTTCTACAATGAATATGAATTATCTGTGAAAAAAATATTTAAAGCAAATGACAAAGAGCCAAATATTAGTCTATCGAATAAGCCACTTGTATCTGAAGATTTAGTGTGATGAGCAATTTCTTAATTAAATGGTTTGTACTTAGAGAAAGAACAAAGAAGTAAACCCTACCAAGGAGTCTTCATGCTAGTTCAACTCAGGACACAAATGGTTTTTTAAAAAACCTACCTCTGAACATGTTCACACAAAAACTTGAACACAAATGTTCATAGTAACATTATTTATAACCCAAAGTGAAACCCAAATGTCCATCAACTGATGGATGAATGTACTAAAAATATCACATTTTCACATTTCTGAGGATTAAATGAAAGTAACACTGATTAAAGTACCTGGCAAACAGAAGGCACCTGATAAATGTTGATTCTCAAACTGAATGGCTTTGCCAATGCCAAATAAAAATGACAAATGAAACCAGATGTAACTATTGTATAAGAAACAACTGTAGATTATTTCACAGATCCTTTTAATGAATTATTTCATTCTTAAGACAACAGTTCTTTAACCGTTAGCAAAAGCTTGCTTTAAAAATAAGGCACTGAAACAGATGCATAATACCGTATTTTCAACACAATGAAACGTAATGAAAAGTGTTCTGAATGAGAAAAGTATATAAAATAAGACCAGTTTTACAGCCTGCATAATGCATAGTAATTTAACCATTAAATTAGAATCTGTAAAACTAGAAATGTACTTCTTGTATCAGCCTTAACAATGATTTTTCAAAAACTGACGGGTTTTGAAACAACTACGTAGGTCAAATTGTATTCTACACCTAAAATGTTTGATTATTTTCAAGTTTGCCTTCCCTTGCCAAATTCAATTTATATTTTCTAAAGTCAGTATGTTTTACATAATCTACACATTTAATTAACAACTTTACAATTTTGAACTTTTAAAGTAGAAAGTTTTATCAGATGATTCTCATTTTGAAAACCTCTGAGAATATTATTCACATTAATGAAGGTATTCACAGTTAGAAAAAATGAAAGTTATTGCTGACAATGGGTCTTTCTCCATAGGAACTTCTCACTGGGGTGTATTCTACATGTACACACAAGAAAACCTCCAATGTACCTTCTGGATAAATAATTATAAACTGGAAAATTCACAAAGGAGGCCTTTTTATAGGTACAAGAAAAATATTTCCAACGAGAAGCCCCTTTATAGAAATATATGGAGAATCACAGACTATAATTATGCAAATTAAATTATACAATGCTTCATAATAGGCCTATAGGAAACATTTTCTTACAGACTCTTGAAAAATATATTAACAATCATCTTTTTATATCTGAAAGCGTTCACTGATTTTTACCATCCCCTCAATTTAAGAATGCTATTATGTTTCACTAGAGAGGGCTCTACTACAGCTGTAAACATAATGACAGTATTTTCTATTATATACCTGTTCATTTCTGAAAGTAAGTGACAAAAGGAAAAGGTTCTCCTTTGCCCTCCCTCTCTTCCTGATAAAAAGGCTTCTACCATGTGGAAGGCTGGGAGCTAGAAAAGGAAGCAGTCTTAATATGGACCTACAACAGAAGATGCAGCTTATAATCCAGGTCATCTAGTTATGTGCATTTCCCTTTTATTATTTCTGAGCTTCTAATGAAAATCTCATTTAAATGTTCCAGCCTCCTCTCAGCTGTGCTTAGAGGAGTAGTATAGGTTTATATCATGATTAATTAAGAGTTAAGGGGAACAGTCTAAGAACCAACTGTGGGAGATAAAGAATAAAACTTAACGGTCTAGAAGTCCCATTTCAGTGGAGAGTCTTCTTCCACTGTTTGTGGTGAAGCACACAGGTTTATTTTCTTAGGGTGCAAGCATAATGCAGGATTCCCTGAACGTTCTTCTACTACATGCCTAAAAATCACTTGAGACTACAAATGCAGAGATCTGGGACCCATCCCAGATACAATGAATCAGAATGTGTGTGGTAGATGCCTGGAATAGACATTTTGAAATGCTTCCCAAGTGATTCTAACACTAAGATGTGAGAATCATTGTAAAGTGCTTCGTAAGAATGGTTCCTTTAAGAGGTCCGTAAAGTCAAACTATTTTCATAACCAAACTGAGACATTATTTGCTTCCCCCCCTTTTCTCATGAATATACAGCAGCATTTACTAGAGGCTACATGATGTGCAATATCACAACAGATTGAATGTGGAAGCAGACATGAGATTCCATCTGTCTTCTTTAAGTCAGTAAAGATAGCTGCAAAAAATGGAATGCCACTTTTCTCACTAAATTTTTTAGAAAACGCTTTTCATTAAAATGTTTTACATTAACATGTGCTTATTATTTTTAATGAATATTTTATAATTTTTTATTTTCAATATCATATATATTACCCACATAAACAAAAGTTCTTGAGACCAGAAAGGTTGAGAACTGCTCTTTCCAGCAGACACCCAGTACCCTGTGAACATTACTGCTGATAGGTATGGCTACTTAGTTCCTTGGCACATTCAATGTAAATTTTGCTTTAAATAAGATTCAATAAATAATTTGGGGGAAAAAAAAAGCTTCCTAAACTTATCTTCAGGCAAGGGAATTCAATCTGACGGTGAAATATAGAAGTCTAACCAGTTCGAATTAAAAGATTAAGATACAAAACATGACTTCCTTGGTGGCATCAGAATGTAACAAATAATCCTTTAATGTGTACCCAGGTTGACTCTGATATATGGAATAGAAAACGATAGTTTATGTGATGCATTTAAAAAATATTAATAGCAATGTGCCAAAACAAGCATTAGTTTCTAAGTGAATGGTAGCAAATGAAAGGCTTACTCAAAAATGTTAGCTAAAAACAAATCCCTAATTTTCAAAAGAAAAAATAAGGGATGAACTCGGGTTCCTGGACAGAAATTTTTAAAAATTACACTTCTTGAAAATGTCGAAATGTGAATAGGCAGATTAATATTGACATTATACTAAGCTGCACAATTTTATCTTTAAAATATATTTTAGATACTGTGCCAAAATAACATGAGTATATATTGCCATTAGAAAATAAAAATGGAGACCACTTGGAGGTTCAGGCATAGCTGTGGTGAAAGAAGTTCCTTCTAGCCTTCTGACTGTATCTCAAATGTAAAATAATTACATTGATGTTTTTTAACCTGTCATGTATAATTTTCTTAATATACTGCTATTTAAAAAATCTGAGACAGCTAATATCTAAACAAACCACTGCTGGTTGGGAATATTTGAATGAATGATGCTGTGAATACATTTGCTAATTTATACCACATTAAGATTCTATATGATACAGCGATTTAATATATCTTATTGTTGAATAACTGGTATTTGAAAATAAGTATAGTTTTCTTTCTGAGTAGTCTTTTGGAAAAAGTGCATTGAATATAGTTTCCAGTCAGAGTTCACATTCCTAACTTGTACTTATTTAAAAATCTTCTCATCAGGAGGGAGTTAAATAATGCCTGAACTAAAAGTCCAGCGAATCTGACTTCCTTTCCCTCATTTTGGTTTGCATGTTCATTTACAACCATCATTTCTCTGCAAACTTAGTGTATCAAAAATCAATGTTATGAAAGTTCTCTAAAAGGTTCAGCGGTTTTTTGGAGTCTCTGAATGACTACAGCATTCTGTAAATCTGCTTCTTCCAATGTGAGTGTTTCATCTAGCAATTTGAGGAAAGGAAGAGCTGTGGCCAGGGAAAAGGGAGGACTTCTTTGAGATCCTTGGTATTTTTCGATGAAGTCTTTGATGTGGCTTATCCTGTAAAACAGCACAAACTATTAATATAATTTTATGAAAACTGGAATTAATGTAAGGTAATAACTTGAAGATACCTATCTAGCTACGTTAATACATAGAATAGTCAAATTATGATGACAGAACTGATCACTTGGGCTTTTTAAAGGTTGACCCTGGATAGTAAGGAACTACTATTAATTATCTTCAGTGTGACAAGGGTATTACGGTTACATTTTATTTTTTGTTTTAAATTTAATATATATTAATAGTTTCAGAGGTGGAGTTCAGTAATTCATCAGTCTTATATAATGTTATGGTTACATTTTTATAGAGTACATCTCTTTTAGAGTTATATTGAAATATTTACATAGGAAACTATATGAAGTCTAAGATTTCCTTGGAAACAGTTCAGTGGAACTGAGTGAGGGATCACTGTATCTTCTGTTTGAAGTGTGTATGTGTGTGTGTATCTGAAAGTCCCTATAACAGAAATTGTATATATCTATATCTGACTCCAAATGGATCAAATATGGTCACACTAGTAATATTACACAGATACAGGCTGTATCTCTTAAATACCAGGTCATGCTGTGTTCCAAACACAATTAGGAAAATTCTTAACTCAGTATAAGTAGAATTTCAGTTAGTAAAATCAACATTACAACGTGCAATTTTGGAGGTAGCTCAAAGTTATGTTCACCTAAGTATATGTGTATGTATGTAGAAAGAACGCATGCAGAGTTCATTACAACTAAGATGCCACTGATTTTTAAGACACATCATTTTATGTGTTGCTAAAAAAATCCAAATTATGACAAAATATTTTCTTAACACTTAGAATTTTTATATTTATTGAAAGCACAACTAACTTAATTTCATGTAAATATTTCTCAAATTAAGCATGTGCTTCTATTAGAGTAATATTGTTAAGCCATTCCTAATACTTGAACATTGTTCAGACTCAGATCCTTTGAATCACTTTCGATTCGGTCATAATTTGGTACATATTTTTCTTTTCTTTCTTTTTTTTTTTAAAGATTTTATTTATTTATCTGAGAGAATGGGAGACAGAGAGCATGAGAGGGGAAGGGTCAGAGGGAGAAGCAGACCCCCTGCTGAGCAGGGAGCCCGATGTGGGACTCGATCCTGGGACTCCAGAATCATGACCTGAGCCGAAGGCAGTTGCTTAACCAACTGAGCCACCCAGGCGCCCCTCTTTTCTTTCTTTTTTAAAAATTTTATTTATTTAAGAGAGAGTGAGCATGAGCAGGGGGAGAGGGAGAAGCAGGTTTCTCACTGTGCAGGGAGCCTGATGCGGGGCTCGATCCCAGGATGCTGAGATCATAACCTGAGCCAAAGGCAGATGTTTAACCGACTGAGCCACCCAGGTGCCCCTGGTACATATTTTTCCACATAATACCAGCCCTCTGTATTAACAGGTGTGTTGGTGATAAAGAATTTCTTTAAAAAAGATACTGTCTCGGGGCGCCTGGGTGGCTCAGTCGTTAAGTGTCTGCCTTCAGCTCAGGTCATGATCCCAGGGTCCTGGGATCGAGACCCACATCGGGCTTCCTGCTCAGTGGGGAGCCTGCTTGTCCCTCTCCCACTCCCCCTGCTTGTGTTCCCTCTCTCGCTGTGTCTCTGTCAAATAAATAAATCTTAAAAAAAAATAAAAAAGAAAAATAAAAAAAAGATACTGTCTCAGATTTTTTTTGTTCAGCTGACACTTGTTCTGCAAGCTTTGAGGTAGATGCCAAGACAAAGATAATTATGTAATGATTGCCATGTAGCCAACCATGGATTTTAGGATAAACCTCCATTTCAGAGGCTAAAATGTGAAAAAATGTTTAATTCAGAATTAATGAAATATGCCATATCACGAAAAGCAGAATTCTCCCAATCAATTCACTAAAATTCATTAATTGCCACTCTATTAAACCTGTGTGAGTTGCCAAAAAAGTCTAGGACACAGTTTCATGTATTATTTGGATACCAAAAGTTGGGATAACGAAAGTCTAAAGCTAATGGCAAATGATATAAATATAAAAAGAAAACAGTAAAGATTAAAGGAACGATGCAGTAAAAATAAAAAATTTCTTTTTTTTTTTTAAAAGATTTCACTTAGGGCGCCTGGGTGGCTCAGTTGTTAAGTGTCTGCCTTTGGCTCAGGTAATGATCCCAGGGTCCTGGGATCGAGTCCCGCATCGGGCTCCCCGCTTGGCCCGATTTAAGTAAAAAATAAAATCTTAAAATAAATAAATAAATAAATAAATAAATAATAAAAGATTTCACTTATCCATTTGACAGAGAGAGAGAGAGAGAGAGAGACAGCGAGAGAAGGGGACACAAGCAGGGGGAGTGGGAAAGGGAGAAGCAGGCTTCCTGCCGAGCAGGGAGCCAGATGCAGGGTTTGATCCCAGAACCCTGGGATCATGACCTGAGCCAAAGGCAGACGCCTGAAGACTGGGTCACCCAGGCGCCCCTGTAGTAAAAAAAAAAAAAATTTCTTTTTAAAGATTTTATTTATTTGACAGAGAGAGATACAGCGAGAGAGGGAACACAAGTAGGGCGAGAGGGAGAAGCAGGCTTCCCGCTGAGCAGGGAGCCCGATGCGGGGCTCGATCCCAGGACCCTGGGTTCATGGTTCATGACCTGAGCCGAAGGCAGATGCTTAACGACCGAGCCACCCAGGCGCCCCTGTAGTAAAAATTTTTAAACGTATACTGTGATCTCTATGTTGCCATTAAGAGAATAAAAAAATGCAAATCTAAAAAGCTGTAAGAGGATAAAAATAATAAGTACACATTAAGCTCAAAAGGAGGCAAAAAAGGACGAATAAAGAATAAAAAGGGGCGCCTGGATGGCAGTCAGTTAAGTGTCCAACTCTCGGTTTCCTGAGTGGGACTTGACGATCAGCGTGAAGTCTGCTTAGAACTGTCTCTCCCTTTGCCCCTTCCCCCAATCCCAGATAAATAAACAAATCTAAAAAAAAAAAAAAGAATAGGGGTGCCTGGGTGGTGCAGTCATTTGGGAACCTGACTCTTGGTTTTGGCTAGGGTCATGATCTCAGAGTCATGAGCTTGAGCCCTGTGTGGGGCTCCATGATCAGCATGGAGTCGGCTTGGGATTCTCTTTCTCCCTTGCACTTGTGCTCACTCTCTCAAAAATAAAATAAACCTTAAAAAAAAAAAAAAAAAAGAATACGGCACCTGGGTGGCTCAGTCGGTTAAACATCTGTCTTTGGCTCAGGTTATGATCCCAGGGTCCTGGGATCAAGCCCTGCATCAGGCTCCCTGCTCAGAGGGGAGTCCGCTTCTTCCTCTCCCTCTGCCTACCGCTCCCCCGGCATGTTGTATGTGTTAGCGTGCTCTGTCAAATAAATAAAACCTTAAAAAAAAAAACAAAAAAAGAATAAAAAGACAAGGGGTAAAGAGAAAACAAACAGTAAGATGGTAGCCTTAAACCCAACTAGTTCAGGATATTATATATCAATGTAAAAACTGGAATAAAATTCCAATTTAAAAACAAAGCGTGGAGGGCGGTGCCTGGTTAGCTATGTCAGAAGAGCATGCGACTGAGTTTGAGCCCTGCGTTGGGTGTAGAGATTACTAAAAAAAAAATAAATAAACTTAAAAATTAAAAAAAAAACAAAAACAAAACAAAGCCTGGGCCACCTCTGCTGTGGACTGAGGCTAGATGGTGACCATCGCAGGGCTTGGGGAGGCTGCACAGGGCAGCAAGCCAGGTTAGCCAGAGCCCCAGAGTCAGAAGCAGCAGGAAGAAGCTATGGCAGCTGAGCCCAGAGAAGCAGTGGCACCCCTATGGATGGCGGGTTCCTGAGTCTGGACTCACCCACCTGTCTTGCACAGGGACAGAGCAGAATGATGGCCTCAATCCAGTGGTCCAGATCATTTATGGTGGAAAATTGAGATTTGATTATTTCTGGGTCATTCTGCAGTGTGATGAAAGAAGTGAATGAGGGTTTTTTTGTTTTTTTTATTCCCTAGAGAGAGTGAGCGAGCGAGGGAGTGCATGGGGACAAAAGCGGGGCAGGGGAAGGGCAGAGGGAGAGGAAGAGACAGAATCTCCAGCAGACTCCTCCTCACTGAGCACAGAGCCCTATGCAGGGCTCAACCCCACCACCCAAGATCATGACCTGAGTCAAAATCAAGATTTGGATGCTTAGGGCACCTGGGTGGCTCAGTCGTTAAGCATCTGCCTTCGGCTCAGGTTATGATCCCAGGGTACTGTGATCAAGCCCCTCATAGGGCTCCCTGTTCAGTGGGAAGCCTGCTTCTCCCTCTCCCACTCCCCCTGCTTGTGTTCCCTTTCTCATTGTGTCTCTCTCTGTCAAATAAATAAATAAATTCTTAAAAAAAAAAAAAAAAAAAAAAAAAAGATTTGGACGCTTAACCAACTGAGCCATGCAGGTGCCCCTGAAGTGAATGAGGTTTTAAACTAACCAGAGATGCTACTGAGTTAAATGCAGCCAATTATACAATGTGGCATTTTCATAAAGTTCTCTTAAAGTCACTTAAAAATGACTGACATGAGGAAATGAACTACATCACTGCAATATTTGAGGAACAGCCCAAAAACTATGAAGTTTCCATCTGAGGACCCTGAGTTTATTGCTGATACTCTTAATCAGGATGCAAAGAATTATAGCTGGCAACATCAACAATGGGTTATTCAGGAATTTAAACTTTGGGATAATGAGCTGCAATATGTAGACCAATTTTTTTTTTTTTAAGATTTTATTTATTTATTTGACAGAGAGAGCACAAGTAGGGGGAGCAGCAGGAAGAGGGAGAGGGAGCGGGAGAAGCAGGCTTCCCGCTGTGCAGGGAGCCCGATGTGGGACTTAATCCCAGGACCCTGGGATCATGACCCGAGCCGAAGGCAGACGCCTAACGACTGAGCCACCCAGGCACCCCATTGTAGACCAATTTCTTAGGGAGGATTTGAGAAATAATGGTCTGGAACCAAAGATACTTCGTAATTTCTAACACTACTGGCTATATTGGAGAGAAAAGTCCAGTACACTCTGTGAATGATCAAACTAATACCATATAATAAAAGTGCATGCAGCTATTTGAAAGGGATTTTACAAGACTGTGGTCTTTCCAAATAGCCCAATCTACTAAATCAGTTACTTGAGGGGCGCCTGGGTGGCTCAGTTGCTGAGTGTCTGCCTTCGGCTCTGGTCATGATCCCAGGGTCCTGGGATCGAGTCCCACACTGGGCTCCCTGCTCGGCGGGAAGCCTGCTTCTCCCTCTCCCACTCCCCCTGCTTGTGTTCCCTCTCTCGCTGTGTCTCTCTCTGTCAAATAAATAAATAAAATCTTAAAAAAAAATAATAAATAAATCAGTTACTTGATTTACAACCAAGTCACAGGTCCCCCTAATTGCCTTTCTCGCAGACATCTATGAAGACATGCTAGAAAACCAATGTGACAACGAGGAGGACATTCTCTCTTTTTAAAAGATTTTATTTTTAAATAATCTCTACACCCAACATGGGGCTGGAACTCACAACCCTGAGATCAAGAGTCGCACGCTCTACCGACTGAGCCAGCCAGCCACCCCAAGGACACTCTTAATAAAGCATTAGAGTTGTGTGAAATCCTAGCTAAAAAAAAAAGGACACTTTAAGAAAGGAATATTGGGAGATATACTGAAGATCCCTTCAAAGCAAACACAGCATAGAAAGTGACCCACTAACAAATGTACAGCAGTAACACCATCTGGTAGAAGTTGATGGCATCCCTTAATTTCTGAAGAGACTCTAATACAGGAGTTTCAAACTAAAGTGATCACTCCCTTTGCCTGTGGTATAAAACATGTATTGCACTGCTTTTTAAGAACCAACTGTGATGCTCCTTGGGTGCTGCTATTCAGACTAGCAATTTGATTATTTTAAAGCAAAAAGCAATTTGGGGGGAGAAGAAACAGAGAGTCCCATGAAGGAACTTTTGTATATTAACATTTACTCTAATCCCTTAGCATCAGCTCCTCCCTAAAGGGAATATGGGTCAGGATTTGCAGCATTAATGAGTGTAGGTGACTTGTATGTAATGGATATAATGTAACTTAAATTTTAGCTCAGGAAGCAGGACATGCAATTGTTACTTTAGAGCGCTATGCCACACTCACAGTTATCTTGCTCACTGTAACTGACTAATGCCAAAAGAATGGTTTTGTAATAAAATTATAGATTTAATCCTAAAAAATTTTTTTAATTTAAAAATTTAAAAAATGAAAGCAAAGCCTGATTAATAATCACTTAATAAATACTGTTGGCCAAAGTTTTTTTAAATGCTTCAGTCTTTCACGAAAAGAAAAATCTAGGTGACTATTTGTTACTAAAAATGTTGGAAAGGGCGCCTGGGTGGCTCAGTTGGTTAAGCGACTGCCTTCGGCTCAGGTCATGATCCCAGGGTCCTGGGATCGAGTCCGCATCGGGCTCCCTGCTCTGCAGGGAGCCTGCTTCTCCCTCTCCCACTCCCCCTGCTTGTGTTCCCTCTCTCGCTGTGTCTCTCTCTGTCAAATAAATAAAATCTTTAAAAAAAAAAAAAAAATGTTGGAAGTATTTTTCTAGACAAAGAAGTTGAGATTAAAATATATTATTTCCCTAAAAAGAAACAACCTTAGATTGGAATAACAAATCCTCTCTTCCATTTCCCAACTGTTTAGTGTGACTTCCTCCCATTTAAAAGGAATTTGGGTCACAGAAGAACATTCTAAGGCACCATTTAAATATATGCTTCTGGGGGTGCCTGGGTGGCTCAGTCCTTAAGCATCTGCCTTCGGCTCAGGTCATGGCCCCAGGGTCCTGGGATCGAGTTCCGCATTGGGCTCCCTGCTCAGCGGGAAGCCTGCTTCTCCCTCTCCCCCTGCTTGTGTTCCCTCTCTCTCTGTGTCTCTCTCTGTCAAATAAAAATTAAAAAAAAAAAAAAAGGATTTTATTTATTTATTTGAGAGAAAGAGTAAAGAGAGAGAAAGAGCACAAGCAGGGATGGGGCAGAGGGAGAGGGAGAAGCAAGGTGGAACTCAATCCCAGGACCCTGAGATCATAACCTGAGGCAAAGGCAGCCGCTTAACTGACCCAGGCACCCCAAATGTTCACCTCTTGATTTCGGCTGGGGTCCTGATCTCAGGGCTGTGAGACAGAACCTTGTGTTGGGCTCCACACTCAGGAGGGAGTCTGCTTGAGATTCTCTCTCTTCCTCTCCCTCTGCCCTTCCCCCCCGAAATAAACAAATCTTAAAAGAAATAAAAATTACATATTTAGTTATATAGGAAAACCAATCAAATGATAAAAATGATAATCCATAAAACAAATTGAAAGTACTTCATTAATTCTATTGTCGTGATATATTATGTTTAGAGAACTGGTAAGATCCTTGGTTAGTTCTTAAAAACTGCCGACTGAACTGAAAAGAAATTTAAACATGAAAAAATTCAGACAAATGATGAAATGGAAGACTTACCTATGAGAAATGTTAAATTTCTGGACAATCCTTTTTCCATTGGCTAGCCAGATCTGTACATTAGTGATGGGTTCCAGATTGTTTAGTTGAACAACAGACAAATTATTTTTATTCTCAACTTCAATACTCTTTGCCTTAGAAACAATTTTTGGTGTGGCACTAAGAAAAGCCAGACAACAAAGTCAGATGCATGCTGTTAGGCAGAGCTTAATCATTGAACAAATACTATAAAACTTCTACATTAAGTATACCTTTTAGGAAGATTTTAGCAAGTCACAGCTGTTTCCTGAATAATAACATAAAGATACTAATATTACTTATGTCCATCATATATGATCAATCTAGGATCCTAATGAAATTATGCATATCTGAGTAATTTGTAAGACTGTATAGTGGTATGTAAGTATATTGTAATTATTTTAATAGTGCCTTATAGAACAGACAATTTTATAGGGTTGAAAGATCTATAAATTTTATCTACTACTCCCCAGGTTAAAATTTCTATAAGAAATGGTAAGTTCTCAAAAACAAACAAACCAAAAAAACAAAACAAAGGGGGGTGCGTGGATGGCTCAGTCAGAAGAGCTTGTGACTGGGACTCTTGATCCAAGGATCATTGGTTTGAGCCCTATATTAGGTGTCGAGATTACTTAAATAAATGAATAAATAAAAACTTTAAAAAAATTATAAGTTCTCTATAGAAATTAGTCCTTAGATTACAAAGGGGGAAAAAAAAGGAAGCAAAGTATTTCCTGATCATTCTGAAAGTCACATCTGAATATTTTTGTATGTGCGGATGAATATGCAGATAACTTTACCAATCTTGATAATCTATGAGAATTCATAAAAATGATCACATATCTAACCTCTTTGTATACTGTCATAAAGCATAGTATTTAATAGGATGAAGACTTCAAAATTTGACAACGGCTTTGATAGGGGTACTAATTTTATCATGAATTTTTCATTTTCATTACTGCAAAATTCAGATACTTATTACAGAACACAATGTTGAAGGCACTGGTAACTATCAAATGGAACCCTAAATTCAAAGCTAGCATATGTATTCTGTAGCATTAATGGCAATGCTCAAGTGGTGGGTTCAAGGAGAAAAACTGTTTACCCATCAATTGTGCCTAAGGTCTTCAATAATCCAGGTCCTTTAATTTGGTAAAATCAGAAAAGCCTCCATGACTTTTTAGTGTACTGCCAGCATATGTTAATTTACACTAAGGTAAATAGGACTTAGGAGTCCTCATAAAAGTTAACATGAAAAATCTCATTTCCAATGAGAGAAATGATAAGGTCTATAGAGCTGGTCTATATCATAAAATAAAGACATGCTGAATATTAGTCAAGCCTGTGTGTGGAAAGCACAGATTATGAGCCTACTCACCTTCCCAGTCTGTGACCCTGTCCTGAGAAAGGCTGGAACACAGGCTTCGTTGACATACATACTTCATTTTTTTTGTCTTCAACTTTAACATCCACCTCCTCTTTATCAAAAATTCCCTGTAATTCCAAAGGTAATTCCCTTGGAAGGTAAAGAAACAAAGTGATAAAGCTTCCAATGTTTTTTCTTTCTCTGAAAAACTTACTCTCACTACGCAAACAGAACTGAAAAATATACAGAAATAAGTGGCATATAATCTTTACAATAAAAAACGAAATGTAATTTTTAAAAGAAGATTTTATTTATTATTTGAGAGAGAGAGAGAGAGAGAGACAGTGAAAGAGAGCACAAGCAGGGAGGAGAGGGAGAAGCCCCAACTTGGGCTTGATCACAGGACCGACTGAGCCATCCAGGTGCCCCTAGATGTAATTTTCTTAAAGATTTTATTTTTAAGGGCGCCTGGGTGGCTCAGTTGGTTGGGTGACTGCCTTCGGCTCAGGTCATGATCCTGGAGTCCCGGGATCGAGTCCCGCATTGGGCTCCCTGCTCGGCAGGGAGTCTGCTTCTCCCTCTGACCCTCCTCCCTCTCATGCTCTCTGTATCTCATTCTCTCTCTCAAATAAATAAAATCTTTAAAAATAATAATAATAATAAAATAATAAAAACAACGTTGAGGGTGCCTTGGTGGCTCAGTTGGTTAAGAGACTGCCTTCGGCTCAGGTCATGATCCTGGAGTCCCGGGATCGAGTCCCGCATCGGGCTCCCTGCTCGGCAGGGAGTCTGCTTCTCCCTCTGACCCTCCTCCCTCTCATGCTCTCTGTATCTCATTCTCTCTCTCAAATAAATAAAATCTTTAAAAATAATAATAATAATAAAATAATAAAAACAACGTTGAGGGTGCCTTGGTGGCTCAGTTGGTTAAGAGACTGCCTTCGGCTCAGGTCATGATCCTGGAGTCCCGGGATCGAGTCCCGCATCGGGCTCCCTGCTCGGCAGGGAGTCTGCTTCTCCCTCTGACCCTCCCCCCTCTCATGTGCTCTCTCTCTCTCATTCTCTCTGTCTCAAATAAATAAATAAAATCTTAAAAAAAAAAAAAAAGATTTTATTTTTAAGTAATCTCTATACCCAAATGAGGTTCAAACACACATCCCTGAGATCAAGAGTCGCAGCCTCAGGACACCTGGGTGGCTCAGTCGTTAAGCGTCTGCCTTCAGCTCAGGTCATGATCCCAGGGTCCTGGGATCGAGCCCCGCGTTGGGCTCCCTGCTCGGTGGGAAGCCTCCTCCTCCCTCTTCCCTCTGCCTGCCGCTCCCCCCTGCTTGTGCTTGCTCTCTGTCAAATAAATAAATAAAAATCTTAAAAAAATAATAATAAATACAACTGTAAACCCAAGTCAACTTCGAAAGTGACAGTCCTTATTAATCCCACTCTCATTTTAATAAAAAACTGGGGACATCTGACTGGCTCAGTGGGTGGAGCATGTGACTTTTTTTTTTTTAAGTAATCTCTATACCCAACATGGGGCTCCAACTCACAACCTCTTGGGCTCACAACCCCAAGATCAAGAGTCACATGCTCCACCCACTGAGCCAGCCAGGCATCCCAGCATGGAACTCTTACTGATCTTGGGGTCATGAGTTCAAGCCCCATGTTGGGCCTACAACTTACTTAAAAACAAAACAAAACAAAAACCCACAAAACTTTGGTGTTGCAACTCCTAGATTTTTCTCTACACATATAGTAAAACTCCATGTAATTATTTTATTTCTTCCACAGATGGTACTGATCTATACACACTATTCAGTATTCTGCAAACTGCTTTTTAAAAACAGTATATCATAGAAATCCCTCCATGTTAATATACAAATGTCATTCATTTTACCAAATGCATGCTATTCTGTTATTAAGTAAATAAAATGGTACAAATATATAAAATATCCCTTCTATATTTTTCTTACTGATTTGTGAGAATTGTGTATATATCCATTTGCATTTCCATAGATGTAACAAGTATCCCCAGCCCGGCACTCGTCTTTTGACTGTATATAAGTGTCTTTTGGTATATATAAGTTTTTAATATTTACATAATGAAATTTATCCATATTTTTATATTGCTTCTGGGATTCATGCCAACTATAGTTATATTCAATAAAACAGATTCTTCCAAATGAAACATGCCTAAAATAATCCTTCATCTTTTTTTTTTTCTTCAAGATTTATTTATTTGACAGAGAGAGACAGAGAGCGGGAGGGAACACAGCAGGGGGAGTGGGAGAGGGAGAAACAGGCTTCCCACTGAGCAGGGAGCCTGATGTGGGGCTCGATCCCAGGACCCTGGGATCATGACCTGATCCGAAGGCAGACACTTAACAACTGAGCCACCCAGAGCCACCCAGGCGCCCCTCTTTCTCTTTTTTTTAAAGATTTTATTTATTTGACAGAGAGATAGTGAGAGCACGAACACAAGCAGGAGGAGTGGGAGAGGGAGAAGCAGGCTTCCCGCCGAGCAGGGAGCCTGATGTGGGGCTCGATCTCAGGACACTGGGATTATGACCTGAGCCGAAGGCAGATGCTTAACCAACTGAGCCACCCAGGCACCCCCTAAAATAATCCTTCTGTTTACAAAGACTGCTTACCCTTTTTTGATGGAGTTCAGAAACTGCTGACTTGCACCATCAGAGTAACTTCTGAAATCATCATTGACTGTGAATCCATTTTTCCATAATTTTATACTTACATCAACCTGCAAAGCAGTTAAAAAACAAAATGTTTTGTTAATAAATGTACTAGATTAAAAGTCTGAAAATTTTTCCTATTGTATATGTTTTATGTATCATTCCTTTTTTTTAAAGATTTTATTTATTTATTTGACAGAGAGAGACACAGCGAGAGAGGGAACACAAGCAGGGTGAATGGGAGAGGGAGAAGCAGGCTTCCCCCAGAGCAGGGAGCCCAATGCAGGGCTCGATCCCAGAACCCTGGGATCATGACCTGAGCCGAAGGCAGACGCTTAACGACTGAGCCCAGGTGCCCCTATATCTCAGTTTTTATTTTTTTTATTTTTTTATTTTTTATTTATTTATTTATTTTAAAGATTTTATTTATTTGACAGACAGAGAGCACAAGCAGGGGGAGCGGCAGGCAGAGGGAGAAGCAGGCTCCCCACTGAGCAGGGAGCCCAACGCGGGGCTCGATCCCAGGACCCTGGGATCATGACCTGAGCCGAAGGCAGACGCTTAACCATCTGAGCCACCCAGGCGCCCCTATATCTCAGTTTTTAAAAAGGAATGATACAGGGCGCCTGGGTGGCTCAGTCGTTAAGTGTCTGTCTTCGGCTCGGGTCATGATTTTGGGATCCTGGGATGGAGTCCCACATTGGGCTCCTTGCTCGGCGGGAGCCTGCTTCTCCCTCTCGCACTCCCTGTGCTTGTGTTCCCTCTCTCGCTGTGTCTCTGTCAAATAAATAAATAAAATCTTAAATAAATAAATAAATAAATAAAAACAGAAATAACTGACATATAACATTGTATTAGTTTTAGCTGTACAATATAATGATTTCATATATGCATATATTGCAAAATGATTACCACAGTAAGTTTACTCAACATCGATTACCAAACACAACTACAATTATTTTTCAGTTTTACTGAGAAACATGCACATCACTATGTAAGTTTAGTGCATACAGCATTATGGTTTGATTTACATATATTGTGAAATGATTACCACAATAGGTTCAGCTCATATCCATTATCTTATATAGATATAATGAAAAGAAAGAAGATAAAAGAATGGAGCGCCTGGGTGGCTCAGTCGTTAGGCATCTGCCTTCGGTTCAGGTCATGATCCCAGGGTTCTGGGATTGAGCCCCACATTGGGCTCCTGGCTCTGGGGGAAGCCTGCTTCTCCCCCTCCCACTCCCCCTGCTTGTGTTCCCTCTCTTGCTGTGTCTCTCTGTCAAATAAATAAATAAAATCTTTAAAAAAATTAAAAAAATAAAAAATAAAATCTTCAAAAAAAAAAGAAAAAAGAATTTTCTCCTTGTGATGAGAACTTCAAGGATTTATTCTCTTAACTTCCCTATGTATCATAGAACAGTGTTAACTATAGTCATCACATTGTGCATTTATACTTATTTATGTAATAACTGGAAGTTTATGCCATCTGACCACCTTCTGCCAATCCCCCCGACCCTCTGCAAAATTTAATCTATCATTCTTAAGAGCAAACTTCACATATAAAATATCAAAAAAATAATGTATATGGGGTCCCTGGCTGGCTCATTCAGAGAGCATGAAACTCTTGATCTTGGGGTTGTAAGTTCGAGCCCCATGTCAGGCCATAGTTTACTTAATTCAGGGTACTTCAGATTAAACGTAGGACTGATTAAAAAGCTGTTTAAGGGGCACCTGGGTGGCTCAGTCAGTTAAGTGGCTGTCTTCAGCTCAGGTCATGATCCCAGGGTGCTGGGATCAAGCCTCACGTTGGGCTCCCTGCGCGGCGGGGAGCCTGCTTCTCTCTCTCTCTCTCCCTCTGCCTGCCTCTCTGCCTACTTGTGTTCTCTATCAAAAAAATAAATAAAATCTTTAAAAAAGAAGGTATCAGACCAGGGGCGCCTGGGTGGCTCAGTTGAGCATCTGACTTCAGCTCAGGTCATGATCTCAGCATCCTGGGGTGGAGCCCCATGTCAGGCTCCCTACTCAGCAGGAGTCTGCTTGTCCATCCCCAACCGCATGTTCTCTCTCTCAAATACATACACAGATACATACATAAATAAATAAAGGAAGGAAGGAAGGAAGGAAGGAAGGAAGGAGAGAAGGAAGGAAGGTAGGTATCAGACTAGTAGCGCCTCTCCTTTGTCTCTAGCATTTATTCAATCATTTATTTATTCAATATACGTTTATTGAGTACCTATTAAGTAACAAACATTCCATTATGATGTTAGGGAAAATAATCATAATAATGATAGCATATATTATTAGCACATCTACCTACCTACCTATGTACTTAGTGTGTAACAAATCCTGTTTAAAGCACTTTCCCTAGTAAATTTATTTACCCCTCCCAAAATCTACACAAGGTAGGTATTATTATCCCTTTATATATAGGAATGGAAACACAGAAGATTGATTAAATTATCCAAAATCACACAGTGAGTAGGGGGTGGAGCTAGGGTTTGAATCCACACCCTTTTTTTTTTTTTTTTAAAGTCATGATCTCCCGATTGTAGGATCAAGCCCCACGTTGGGCTCTGTGCTCAGTGCGGAGTCTGCTCTAGATTCCTCTCCCTCTCTTGCTCTCTCTCTCAAATAAATAAAATCTTATCAAAACAAAACAAAACAAAACAGGAGGCTCCACGCACAGCATGGAGCCCAACATGGGGCTTGAACTCACAACCCTGAGGTGAAGACCTGAGCAGAATCAAGAGCAGGACACTTAAGCCACTGAGCCACCCAGGTGCCCCTTGAATCTATGCTCTTAACCACTAAACTATACTTCCCTTTTATACCTATAACCAAGTTTCTGTTCTCAGGGTATTCACATAAAAGGTGAGAACAAAACAAACAGGAAAAGAACTAGTCCTTCATAAAGACACTGAGGAAAACAGACGAAACTGAAAAACAGGGGCGCCTGGGTGGCTCAGTTGGTTAACCTCCGATTCTTTTTTTTTTTTTTTTTTAAGATTTATTTACTTGAGAGGGAAAGAGCACATGCATGAGCACAGGATGGGGGTGGGTGGGTAGAGGAAGTCCTAAGCAGACTCCGCACAGAATGTTGAGCCCGACGAGGGGCTCGATCCCACAACATTCCCCACTTCTGCGCCCCAGATCACAACCCGAGCCAAAACCGACAGTCGGACACTTAATCCACCCAGGCACCCCTAAGTGTTCCGACTCTTGATCTTAGCACAGGTTTTGATCTCAGGGTTGTGAGTTCAAGCCTCGTGTTGGGCTCCACATGGGGCATGGAGGCTACTTAAAAGAAAAAAGAAAAAGAAAAGAAAAAGAAACTTAAAAACAAAAATCCAAAATTGATAACACACTCATATGAGAGAATATAATGTCTGAAAGGGAGGGAATATTCAGGAAATAAAAGAGCTTTAGAAACTGCAAATGGAGGGCGCCTGGGTGGCTCAGTTGGTTAAGCGACTGCCTTCGGCTCAGGTCATGATCCTGGAGTCTCTGGATCGAGTCCCGCATCGGGCTCCCTGCTCGGCAGGGAGTCTGCTTCTCCCTCTGACCCTCCCCCTTCTCATGTGCTCGCTCTCATTCTCTCTCTCTCAAATAAATAAATAAAATCTTTAAAAAAAAAAAAGAAACTGCAAATGGAGGGATGCCTGGGTGGTCAGTCGGTTAAATGTCTGTCTTTGGCTCAGGTCATGATCCCAGGGTCCTGGGATCGAGTCCTGCATTGGGCTCTAGTCCTGCATGGGGCTCTCTGCTCCACAGGGAGCCTGCTTCTCCCTCTGCCTCTGTCTCTCATGAATAAATAAATAAAATCTTAAAAAAAACCTGAAAATGGAAATTGAATAAATAGACTGAATATAAGGTCAAAGAGAGATCCCAATTAAAATAGAACAAAATTACAGAGGTGGAAAATAGAAGAAACAATAAAAAATTAAGAAGCTTGGTCCAAGAGGTCCAATATGTAAGTAAAAGCATTCTAGAGAGACTAGCAATGGAAGAGAGCAAAATAAGCAACATAAGAAAATGTCCTAGAATGGTAAACATGAGTTTCTAGATTGAATGAATGAAAAAGGACCCACCATCAAGGCCCATAAGAACACAGGGTTAAAGATTCTAACAGCTTTCAGTGAGTAAAAAGGTGCCACATACAAAGTCTCAGATACCATGGGGCACCTGGGTGGCTCAGTCGGTTAACCACTGACTGTAACTTTCAGCTCAAGTCCTGATGTCAGGGTTCTGAGATGGGGCGCCACATCGGGCTCCCTGCTCAGCGTGGAGTCTGCTTAGGATTCTCTCCCTTGGTCCCCCCACCCTTGCTCGCTCACACACGTGCACAAGCACTCTAATAAATAAATCTTAAAAAACAAAACAAAAAAATCAACAAAGGCTCAGTTACCAGAATGGCATTTATTAATCAATCGTGAAGGCAGAATAAAGGCAAATTTAGGCTTGCAAGGTTTTAAGCCACCTACTTCAATGCACTCTCCTCACACACTATTTTATAAAGCTGTCCCAAGACTGGCTTCATCAAGGATGCTCTTAATAGCAACTAGCATGCCCCCCACCAAATGCAAGCAAAAAATACGGTAATTACTAGTACAGTTTGGTGTCACTGCCTTCATTGCTCCCAAGGCACTGGCAGTTTTACCCACCATCACTTCTGCAGTATTAGTGCAAAATCAACACAGTGAAAAAGGTAAATAATATCTCACTATTATTATGAAAACAGTTTTGACCTCGTGTACCCAAAATATGGTCCTTATTTTGAGAAACACTGGATGAGAAAAAAGTTACGGACATTTACCTGTTTCTTCTGTTCAGTGGGAGACATGCATTTGGCGCCAACCTTCTCAGCTTCCTCAAAAAGGCTGTCAACAAAATATTCGCAATTTCTTTGACGATCATCACTAAGAGGTTGGTTGTCAGATCCTGTTTCACAAACCCTACACAAAAAAAGGGAAATTAAGCACTACTATTACTTTTCCAAAAATTTACATGAATTTCTAGTTAAAGGATCCTGAACTGAAATGCTTCCAGTTCCGCAGTTTAGACCCACTTCTAAATTAAGATTCTGGCAGATATGTGACCTTGGAAAGTCATTAACCATTTGGGTCCAGAGCAGGGTTTTCTCAACTTCAGTCTACTGACATTTGGGAAGGGATAATTCTTTGTTGTGTGGGCTGCCCTATGTACTGTAGGATGTTTGGTAGCATCCGTGGCCTTTATCCACTAGATGCCAGTATCATGCATACTCCACCCACCCCCACCTCCAGTGTAATAACCAAAACCATATCTAGACATTGCCAGATAACCTCTGGGGGCCAAAATCTCACGAGGTTGAAAATCACTGGTCCAGAGTATAAAAATGTGTTCTTTGCAAAAAGCTCAAAATAGCTTTACAAGGGGTTACTATGTGCCTTCTGGTAATAAAAATTACTTTATTTTATTTTATTTATTTATTTGAGAGAGAGCACGAGCACGAGTTGGGGGTAGGGGCAGAAGGGGAGGGAGGAGCAGACTCTGCACTCAGTGGGGAGCCCAAAGTGGGGCTCGTTTCCAGGACCCTGGGATCGTGATAATAATAATAATAATAATCTAAAGATTATTTTTTTCTTGCATTGAGAACTTTTTTTTTTAAAGATTTTATTTATTTATTTGAGAGAGAGAGTGAGAGAGAGAGCACAAGAGGGGGGAGTGGGAGAGGGAGAAGCAGACTCCCTGCTGAGCAGGTAGCCCGATGCGGGACTCGATCCTGGGACTCCAGGATCATGACCTGAGCCGAAGGCAGTCGCTTAACCAACTGAGCTACCCAGGCGCCCGCAATGAGAACTTTTAAGATGTAATTTTTTAGCAACTTTCCAATATGCAATAGTTTTTTTTTTTTTAATTTTATTTATTTATTTGAGAGAGAATGAGATAGAGAGAGCATGAGGGGGGGAGGGTCAGAGGGAGAAGCAGACTCCCTGCTGAGCAGGGAGCCCAATACGGGACTCAATCACAGCACTCCAGGATCGTGACCAGAGCCGAAGGCAGTCGCTTAACCAACTGAGCCACAGGCGCCCCTGTAATAGAATTTTTTTTTTTTTTTAAAGATTTGATTTATTTGACAGAGATACAGTGAGAGAGGGAACACAAGCAGGGGGAGTGGGAGACGGAGAAGCAGGCTTCCCGCAGAGCAGGGAGCCTGATGTGGGGCTCCATCCCAGGACCCTGGGATCATGACCTGAGCCGAAGGCAGACGCTTAACGACTGAGCCACCCAGGCGCCCCTGCAATAGAATATTTTTAACTATAGTTGCCATGCTATATATTACATCCTCATGACTTATTTTATAACTGAAAGTCTGTACCTTTTGACTCCATCCATTCTGCCTACCCCCATCTACTGGTTTTTATTTTGCATTTATATTTTATCATCTAAGAAATATTACTGAAGATTTTGACAGAAAAAATGGTTTCTGACCAATCTTTTTGAAAGTCATACAGAAAATTCATGCATGTACTGAAATATAACTTCTCAGATCCCATAAATAGTATTTTTACAGCTCTCATACTGTGCCAGGAACTATAATATAGATACTCTTATCCACATTTTTATAGGAAGGAAAATGAGTCACAGAAAGGTTAAGTTATACGAAGTTAAAGCTAGTAAGTAGCAAAGACAGCATTAGAACGCTGTTCATCTGCCTTCCACATCTCTGCACCTATGATATACTATAAAGCTTCTCTCTTTTTTTTTTAAAGATTTTATTTATTTGACAGAGAGAGACAGCGAGAGAGAGAACACAAACCGAAGGAGTGGGAGAGGGAGAAGCAGGTTTCCCACGGAGCAGGGAGCCCGATGCGGGGCTCGATCCCAGGACTCTGGGATCATGACCTGAGCCAAAAGCAAACACTTAACGACTGAGCCCCACCCAGGCGCCCTATAAAGCTTCTCTTAATAGCTCACATTTATTGAGCATTTATTAAAATATTTTGGGAACTATTTTAAGTACTTTACATGGGTTAACTCATTCAAAATGACCTAAAAAGGCACATATTGTTTTTATCCCATCTAGCACATTAAAAAAAAGCTTAAGCAAAAGAAAAAGGTAAAAAAAAAAAAAAAAAAGAGGGGCGCCTGAGGGCTTAGGGCTTAGTCGGTTAAGTGTCTGCCTTCAGCTCAGGTTGTGACCCTGGGGTTCTGGGATCCACCCACATTGTCTTGCTCCCTGCTCAGCAGGGAGCCTGCTCCTCCCTCTCCCTCTGCACCCCGCCCCATCCCCCACTTAAGCAATTTGCTCAAGATCACAAAGCTATTGGGAGGCAGAGCTGGAAACTGAACCCAGGCTACCAATGCCTGTACTCTTAATCACTGTGCCAGACCAAATAGTCATCGCTATGTTGTTATTAAAATGGAACACTCAGAGCAGTATTTTAATTTAGGTATACTTTTTCTACTCTTCTAGGTAATCTCTGTATATCCTTAAGACGCTTCATATTATCACAAAATATTAATTATGCCTTTCCGAAAGCAATGGAATGATACTTCTTACATAAAAATAGTCACACCCTAAGATGATTTCTCACAATACTAATGATCTTCCCCTCTTTAATCAGTATAGCTATGTAGCAGTAGAGGATATTGTCTAATAAGAGTTCAGGCTTTGGTGTTTGTTTAGGCACTGAATCACACCAACTTTGGGCGAGAAACCCAGCAGCCTCTACGTGATCTGGCTTTTTCATTTGCAAAATGCAGCTACTAGCATCTACCTTGCGTGGCTGCTGCGAATACTGCCGCAAACACAAAAGCCGATGCCCGGTGCACAGTATGTGTCAGTACACATAATGACACACAGTATTTGATAAGAATCATTGTAACCACTGAATGCTCTCTGGTGTTTGCCAGAAAAATTGGACTTTGGCTGCCTCCATCTTTTTTTTTTTTTTTTTTTTTAGATTTTATTTATTTGAGGGGTGCCTGGGTGGCTCAGTTGTTAAGTGTCTGTCTTCAGCTCAGGTCATGATCCCAGGGTCCTGTGATGGAGCCCCTCATAGGGCTCCCTGCTCAGTGGGAAGCCTGCTTCTCCCTCCCCCACTCCCCCTGCTTGTGTTCCTGCTCTCGCTGTGTCTCTCTCTTTCAAATAAATAAAATCTTGGGGAAAAAAAAAAGATTTTGAGAGACAGATGAGAGAGTAGGAGCGGGGGAGGGGCAGAGGGACAAGATTAGGGACAAGTTCCTCCCCACTGAACGAGGAACCGGACACAGGGCTTGATCCCTGGACCCCAAGATTATAACCTGAGCTGAAAGCAGACGCTTAACCAACTGAGCCACCCAGGCGCCCCTGTCTGTCTCCATCTTGACATCACTTTCTAGTTGGGTTCTTTCCAGATTGCTTCTTGGCTCAGGCAAAAGACCCTGCGGGCAAAGCATCCCCTGATGGGAACTGAAACTATCCCCTCAAGCACTAAGAACTGGCCTGAACCAGCAAGACCCAGCCCGTGATCGACTCTAAGACAATGATCAATTTGACCTTCACTGCCTACCTGTATGCACCCACCCACTTTTTTCCCCACAGTTTCCTTAAATAAACCTGGAAGTATTTTTGGCACTCTGGATACAGTCTGAAATGCTAGTCTGCTGTCTTTCCAGCATCGGCCTCACTGAAATAAATCCCTTTCCTGTTTCACTACCACTTGTTTCTCTGCCTTTGGATTTTGTCAGTGGCTAGTGCCTGAACCTGGTATGTTTGGGACCCCCAGAACCAGGTTCTCTCGCACCCCTGTGTCCTAGCTTTAAGAAAGCAGTTTATACACAATTACTAAGTAAAAAGTCAATAAAGCTGAGCATTCAAAGTAGCTTTAGTCCTTTATCCTACCTATTTGATATGTAAATTCTATTAAGCCTCATTTTGTTAATTCAAGTCATTTTTTTTTTTTTTTAGATTTTATTTATTTATTTGAGAGAGAGAGAATGAGAGACAGAGACCATGAGAGGGAGGAGGGTCAGAGGGAGAAGCAGACTCCCTGCCGAGCAGGGAGCCCGATGCGGGACTCGAGCCCGATGCGGGACTCGATCCCAGGACTCCAGGATCATGACCTGAGCCGAAGGCAGTAGCTCAACCAACTGAGCCACCCAGGCGCCCCAATTCAAGTCATTCAAACATTGAGTACCTACTATATGGTAGGTGGTAAGGAGATACAATAATGAGCAAGAAATAGTCTAGGTTTTTAAGACGTTCAGAGTACAGTGTGTGGAGATGCATTATAAACAGCTCTATGCCCACGGATTTGATAACTTAGATGAAATGGACCAATTCCTTGAAAGGGACAATCCACCAAAACTTACATTAAAGAGGAACGTATACAAAGGCTTGTATCTATTAAGAAACGGAGTCTATAATTAACAATCTTCCAAAACACAAAGCACTAGGCACAAAAGATTTCTTTAGTGGGTGGCTCAGTCACTTAAGCTTAACTGGCCAGATCACCTGCTCAGGTCATGATACCAGGGGCTCGGGATGGAGCCGGGCGTGGGGCTGCCTGCTGAGGAGAGTGTCTCCTCCCCCTCCCTCTGCCTCTCAGCCCCATTCCCCCGCCCCGAGCCACACGCGCAGCGCGTGTGCATTCTCTCTCAAATAAATAAAATCTTAAAAAAATAAAAAGATTTCACTAGCAAATTCTATCAAACATTTAAGGAAGAAATGATACCAAGTCTCTACAATCTCTTCAAGAAAATAAAAGCAGAAGGAACACTTCTAACTCCCAACTCTTGGTTTTCACTCAGGTTATGATCTCAGGGGGTCGTGGGATCGAGTCCGACAACAGGCTCTGTGCTCAGCAGAGTCTGCTCAGGATTATCTTTCTCCCTTTGCCCCTTCCCCCACTCATATGTGCACAAGCGCTCTCTCTGCCCCCCCCAAAATAAATAAATAAATCTTAAAAAAAAAAAGTAAATAAAACCAGACAAAGATATTTCAAGAAAGGAAAAAAACAGTATTGATGTAGTTTTTGAATGTAGGTGAGAATGTAGAGCCGAAAGCCAAGAAAAAATTCTTGAGACATCTTTGGTGCAAAAATGCTGATTTTATTAAAGGACAGGGAGAGGACCCATGGGCAGAAACAGCTGCTGCCTCCGGGTTGTGAGGGGTGGCCGATAATATACTTGGGAAGTTGGGGAGGTAAGGAAAAAGGATGCCCCTACTCACCACTCCTCTTCAATGCCATATTGCAAATCCTAGCTAAGTCAGTAAGACAAGTAAAGGAAATAAAAGGTTTTCAAAAGAACTTTCATATGCTAAAGAGGACCTATGAGATACTGGAGGCCTTACCTTGGTGAAGTTAAGATTGTTTTTCCCTATAATAAAGCAATAACATTAAGCTAATTGAGAGTTTCCTTCTGGAAGTTAGGTTATTGATAAGAATGCTTTTTTTCTTCTAAATCACTAAAACATTTGTAAACTGATGGAGACTCATGGACTGTGATCTCTATTAACCATTTGTTTTTTCCTTCCCTTGGTTTTAGGGCAGCCAGCAGTGCCTGAGGAATGTCACACATATCCCACCTGGGAGTTGGGGGGATTGCGGGGTGTCAGCTTGTACTTTGCCCTCAGCTTGCCTTCTGCTTCCTCATCAGTATCTCTCATGAGCATAGATGCAAAAATCCTTACTGTAATCAAGTAGGATTTATTCCAGGTATGCAAGGCTGATCCAACATGAGAAAATCAATTAATGTAATCCATCATATCAATACACTATAGAAGAAAAATCACGATCATATCAACAGATATGATAATACTTTATTTTTAAAAGTAGTTTTAGGTTTCAAAAAAATTGAGCAGAAAATAGACAGTTCCTGTACCCCACCCTCCCCTTCACCACCACACACACAGTTTCCTATATTATTAACATCTTGTATTATGTAGTATATTACAGTTTGGAACCAGTGTTGATACATTAATTGTGGTTTACATTTGGGCCCATTTTGTGTATTGTACAGTTCTTTGGGGTTTGACAGATGTTGCTGATGCATATGGTGTTGTGCTTTTATATTTAAGTTTATTATTACTCTTATTTTTCCTTTTTTAGTAATCTCTATATCCAATATGGGGCTTGAACTCACAACCCTGAGATCAAGAGCTGCATACTCTTCCATCTGAGCCAGCCAGGTACTGTGTTTTTAATTCCAGGTACCAGTTGTTATTGCTGGTTTATAGGAAAGCACTTGGCTTTTATATATTAATCTTACATTCTACAGCCTTGCTAAAATTGCTTATTAGTTCCAGAAGTTTGTTGTTGTTGTATTTGGGATTTTCTGTGTAGACAGTCATGTCATCTGCAGACAAAGAATTTTATTTCTTCCTTCCCAATCTGAATACCTTTTATTTCCTTTACTTGTCTTACTGACTTAGCTAGGATTTGCAATATGGCATTGAAGAGGAGTGGTGAGTAGGGGCATCTTTGTCTAATTTCTGATCTTAGGGGAAAAGCATCTAGTTTCTTGTCATAAAGTATGACGTTAGCTGTAGGTTTTCTGTAGATGTTTTTATCAAGTTAAGAGAGTTCTTCTCTGTTCCTAGTTTGCTAAGAGTTTTTATCAAGAATGAGACAACATCAGACCTAGCCATATTTAGCCTACCCATGCTTAGTATAAGCGTATTTCTTAAAACATGGTCCTTATTGCAATATTTTGTACTATGTTTAATTCTTAGTATGTTCTGAGATAGAAGTTAAAACCAAGCTTTAATTCTAAATGAAAAAGAAAACAGTTTTTAAGATGTGCCTTTGTAACTGCAATTTAGAATTTCCAAATTAATTCAGAAAATATTAGCTTTTTCCAAAAGGGACTCTTAACTCTAGGATAGATGCAACAGATCTATGCTTTCTACTCTGTCATCCTTTCCCTTACTTGTCACTATCCTTTTATGATATAAATATCAATACTCCTCTCCATAATTTAAAAACCAGGTAGCAAAGTTGTTATGGCATAGTATATAGTCTTAAAGTTTCAGGAGTTCCTCTGATAATAAAAAGTACACAAGTTCAGGAAAAGGACTTTGAAACATCTATTTTGGCTACAGAATACCCTCTTCTGCTGACTTTCTCATTCACTACTGTGTTCTGAATAAATAAGGTTATCAGTCGTTGTCCAAATGGGTGAAGAATTTGCATCTGTGTATACTTCGATAGCACATTGGTAAATATGGATCTTCACCACTTACAGCCTGTGAACTACAGATATAACAGGAAAAGTCTTTACATTTTTTTACTGGACCAGTATTTCTAACAATATCTATTTTTGTTACAAAGAAAATTATAAAATCTATTCCTAGTATTTTTGTTCAGCTACCTTACTAATTATTTAATTACATTCATAGTACTGATACATACTGTGACACCCCAATAAAAATCAGACTGATTTCCAATGAACTTCCTTAGGAAGACAACTATTTACATGTGGTGTCATAATTTATTACTGGGAGAATTAAGTGCATCCTGGGTGATTCCACTGGGTAAGGACTCTTGAAAGTTTGTGCCTCGTTTTCTCTGAACTTCACCCCGTGTGCTTTTCCCCTTTGCTGATTTTTCTTTGTATCTTTTCATTATAATGAAATAAATCATGGTCATTAGTATGACTATATGCTGAGTCCTTTGCATCTTCTCAGCAAATCATCAAACCCGGGGATGGTCTTAGAGGCCCTCTGACACAATCTCACAATTATAGTTAGTATCAAATATTTATATAAAACAATAATAAAAAATATTTGTTTAGTATAGAAGCATTTACAAAGTATTTTTAAGTATGAAATAGCTGTCTGTCTCCTTAAATGGACAGTGAATGGGAGAATTTACCTCTCCCATTTACTATTCCCAAATTTACTCTTTAAAATGAACTGCATGGGCACCTGGGTGGCTCAGTTGGTTAAGCAACTGCCTTCGGCTCAGGTCATGATCCTGGAGTCCTAGGATCGAGTCCCACATCAGACTCTCCGCTCGGTGGGGAGTCTGCTTCTCCCTCTGACCCTCCCCTCTCTCATGCTCTCTCTGTCTCATTCTCGCTTTCTCAAATAAATAAATAAAATCTTTTAAAAAATAAATAAATAAAATAAAACGAACAGCATAATACAAAAATAAACATCCCACCTCAGATAAGTGAAAATAAAATATTCTATATTGATAAGAACCATAAACTTTGCACCTACCATTTACTGAGTCTCTACTATGTGCTATCATTACTATTTTTTTAAAGATTTTATTTTAGAGGCCCCTGGGTGGCTCAGTTGGTTAAGCATCCAACTCTTGACCGGCTCAGGACATGATCTGAGCCTTATCCAACTCTTGATTTCATGGTATGAGCCTCATAAGACTGAGCCCCACATGGCGCTCTGTGCTCATTGGGGAGTCGGCTTGAGATTCTCGACCCCTTTTGCTCCCCCCACCCCACGCACGCTGGTGTGAGCTCTCTCTCTCTCTCAAATAAATAAATAAATCTTTCACAAGCCTGAGATCAAGAGTTGCACACTCCACCAACTGAACCACCCAGGCACCCCTGTGCTGATACTATTCTGAGTGCTTTATGTCAGCTATCTAATTCTCATAAAAACCTTACACGTACAAACATATACGTACCCCCCTCCGTTTTGTAGATAAGATACAGAAGCTCAAAGAATCTACCTAAGTTGCTCTAAGGCCAAAGAGGTAGTAAAGACAGTGATGGGATTCAAACTTAGGTTTATCTGACTCCAGAACCATTATGTTTCCACTACGACTCCAAGACAGTACAACATAAGAGACTAACAAAGTGAAACAGTTACTTGAATTTCTCACTTAATAGAAGTAATATGCTAACAGAGAGAAATTTAACATTTTAATAACAAAAACATGTAAAACTTCATTAGAATCCATTCAATGCAGCTTTGATAAAAAATTACTTTAAAATATACTACCATTAGCTATTTTTTTTTAAAGATTTTATTTATTTGACAGAGAGAGACACAGCGAGAGAGGGAACATAAGCAGGGGGAGTGGGAGAGGGAGAAGCAGGCTTCCCACTGAGCAGGGAGCCCGATGCGAGGCTCGAGGGCTCGAACCCAGGACCCTGGGATCATGACCTGAGCCGAAGGCAGACGCTTAATGACTGAACTACCCAGGCGCCCCAACCATTAGCTATTTAACTGAAAGACCCATAATGAAAACTTACTGTATCTGTCAGTGAAATGCAGTAAAAATAGATACTAAGAAATGCAGTAACAAAGAAATGCAAAGCTTAAATTAACTTACCATTCTTCTTTTATACTTTCGAGATTATCTACTTCTTTCATTCTTTTGCCTTACTGTAAAAGTAAAAATAAACAAAAGCTAAAGTCCTCAAGTATTAAAAATAAGTTCATTCTTATATATGCATTAATAATCTTTAACATAAGCTATTAAGTGTCCCTAAAGTAGCACTGAAAGGGTCTTAAGAACTTACGTGACCAAACTCAAAGCTGTCATTTTCATCTACAGAGTACAACAATAATAAAAAATAAATTTTGGAGTCTAATAATCTTCCAACAAAAGAAATTTTTTTTAGAACTATTTCTTAAGAATAATGATAAAAACCATAGTGTGCCCTTTGGTTTAACAAACAAAAGTGAATGAAACATTCTTATTCTCATTCTTACAATTCCTTGGGGAAGCAAACTGACGAGATGTACAGTGTACAATTCAGTGGCATCAATAACATCCACAATGTTGTCCAATCATTACCACTACCCATTTCCAAGACTCTTTCAACTTCCCAAAAAGAAACTCTGTACCCATTAAACAATAACTCCCTCTTCCTCTCTCTTCCCATGCCTAGTAACCCCATTCTACCTTCTGCCTTTATGAATTTGCCTTGTATTTCACATAAATAGAATCATACATTTATCCTTTTGTGTATGGCTTATTTCACTTAACATAAATTCATTCCTTTTATGGCTAATATTCCATTGTATATATATACATTTTGTTTACACATTCATCTGCTTTTTCCCAAGATTTTATTTATTAGAGAGCACGTGCACGCACATGCATGAGCAGGTGGAAGGGGCAGGCAGAGGGAGAAGCAGACTCCCTCTGAGCAGGGAACCAGATGTGGGGCTAGATCCCAGGACTCTGGGATCATGACCTGAGCCGAAGACAGACGTTTAACCAACTGAGCCACCCAGGCGCCCCTACACATCTGGTGATGGACATTTGGACTGTTTACACCTCTGGCTATTGTGAATAATTTTGTATTCCCTCCAGCAATGTACCAGGGTTCTAATTTCTCCACATCCTTGCCAATACTTGTTAGTTTGTTTTATTAAACAATACCCATCCTAATAAAGTGTATCTCATTGTGACTAGTGATGTCGAGCATCTTTTTCATGTGCTTATTGGCCATTTGTCTATCTTCTTTGGAGAAATACCTGTTCAGGTGCTTTGCCCATTTTTGATGTTTTTGCCTGCTCTTTTTAAGTTGCATTTTTCTTTTTTTTTTTTTTAAGATTTTATTTATTTATTTGACAGAGAGAGAGACAGCGAGAGAGGGAACACAAGCAGGGGGAGTGGGAGAGGGAGAAGCAGGCTTCCTGCTGAGCAGGGAGCCCGATGCGGGGCTTGATCCCAAGACCCTGGGATCATGACCTGAGCCGAAGGCAGACGCTTAACGACTGAGCCACCCAGGCGCCCTTGCATTTTTCTTGATCAGCATTTGCTTGGCTGCTATACACCATGAGCTACTTTCCAGAGTTCAAAGTTGGTTCTAACAGTTTCTGTGTGTTTTTCAATGTTTCTGTGGGAACATGAGTTTATAACTGCCTATTTTGCCATTTTGCTGATGTGACCATCAATATTAGTTTTTCTTAAAGATTTTATTTATTTGAGAGAGAGAGAGAGCAAGAGAACAAGCAGGGGGGAGGAGAAGAGAGCCCAGCGTGGGGCTCAATCCCAGCACCCTGGAATCATGACCTGAGCCTAAGGCAAATGCTTAACCAACTAAGCCACCCAGGCACCCCCTCAACTTTAATTTAAAAATTTTAAATCTCAGGGGCGCCTGGGTGGCTCAGTCGTTAAGCATCTGCCTTCGGCTCAGGTCATCATCCCAGGGTCCTGGGATCGAGTCCCACATCGGGGTCCCTGCTCGGCAAGAAGCCTGCTTCTCCCTCTCCCATTCCCCTTGCTTGTGTTCCCTCTCTCGCTGTGTCTCTCTCTCAAATAAAGAAATAAAATCTTAAAAAAAAAATTTTTTTTAAATCTCAGATCTATTTGGAACTTATCTTACGGTGATTCCACATGACAGTTGAGTTTACTGAACAGTCCATCTTAAAAAAAATAAAAGTCCATCTTTTATTATTTCTTTTTTTAGCTCTAAGTGTATGGACTCATGGGTTTTTGTTTTAGTCAATGTTTTGATGTTCCATTTATTTTGATGTTCCATTTCCCAGATTTGTCCAGTGGGAACCCCTTCAGTGTGATGTCCTTTTGATACGTATTCATCATCCTGTGAACACCTTCTTACTTTCTGGAGCAAGAAGATGCTCCAGGATCATTTGTTCTTTCTCTGCCCCACCCCATGAATCAGACTTTTCTTTGAGAAGCCATAGTTACTTTTTTTTTTTTTTTTTTTAACTGTATTTAGAAACCAAGATCTGGGTGTTTGGCATGTTTGTTTTTTCTACTGTGTTGTTGGACCTCTCAGTGGACAGATGGCTTGGGACTACTTTAAACACTGATTTGTTCGCTTATTTCTTACAATATTTTCTTACAAAGGCAAAACACTGATAGAGAAAGTTTGGGAAAGAGAGAAAATAATCCATACTTTTATTACCCCCAACAATAACTATTTAAACTTTTGCTTCTTCCTGTCCATTTTTTCATACACATTCAAATGCATTGCTAGTATATCAATGATTTTTGTTTCCTGTATTTTTCATTTCTGTGCTTTTTCCATTTGGCTACATAAATTGCTTCATAATTATTTTTAAAGGATACATATTATTCCATCAGGCAGCTATACCATGACTACTGGGAATTTAGTTCCCTTTCAATTTTTCCTAACAAATAACAGCTGTGGTGGGTAAATTCTGTGTATACAGCTTACTTTGATGTTCCTTTAAATTCCCAAAAATGTGGAAAATCAGGGTGAAAAATATATGAATATTTCTATAACATGTAAATAGTGTAGGTCTATATTTAAAAATGTAAGCACATTTGGGGGCACCTGGGTGGCTCAGTTGGTTAAGCGTCTGCCTTTGGCTCAGGCCATGATCCCAGAGTCCTGGGATTGAGCCCTGCATTAGGCTCCCTGTTCAGTGGGGAGCCTGCCTCTTCCTCTGCCTGCTGCTCCCCCTGCTTATGCTCTCTCTCTCTGTCAAATAAATAAATAAAATCTTAAAAAAAAAAAAAAAGTACATTTGAATAGAAGGCAAACCTGCAAAGTAATAGCCACTGAAGATTCACCAGAGCCATCCTAAAGCCATGAGAACAAGAAAATGGCCACAAGAAGTAGTCCACTGCTACCACTTAAAGCGCTCTCTCAGGGGCGCCTGCGTAGCTCAGCCGTTAAGCGTCTGCCTTTGGAGCAGGTCATGGTCCCAGGGTCCTGGGATTGAGCCCCACATTGAGCCCCACATCGGGCTCCCTGCTCGGCGGGATGCCTGCTTCTCCCTCTCCCACTCCCCCTGCTTGTGTTCCTTCTCTCACTGTGTCTCTCTCTGTCAAATAAATAAATAAAATCTTTAAAAAAAAAATAAAATAAAGCACTCTCTCAAAAAAGTTTCCAAAGTACCTGGAGGTGAATTTAATCTGGTAACTGAGGATCTGGTGGCAGCAGCCTTTCACCTGATAAAAATCAGTCTGAATGATCTTAGGGCCTGGTAATGGAGCTGGGCCAATAACCACAGCAATTTGTGTTGAGCACTAATTCCCACTTAGGCTCTGTTTTGCTAGGAATTAAAGTAGGGTAGTGGACTCTGCTCTGGAAAATATCCTATCATTGAAAGTTGTTATAGGTACCTCTAGCTTTAATTATGAATTGAATATAAATTGATAGCAAATTTATTTCCTAACTCTTTCATGAGACAATTGTGAAAAATTCTGAAAGACAAGGAGAAACAGGAAGGCAAGGAAAAAGGAGGAAATGCAATGGGGCTGAGGAGTGAGTGTGGAATATAAAGTGAGGGACACCAACATCAATGGCATCCCAACATAACTTCAGACTCTGCCCTGTAGCTAGAGAGTAAAGTAGGACTCACTAAAGCCACAGCATCCAAGAGGATGGCATCCAACAATTAAGGCAAATTGGATGTCTCTACTGTATCAAGTTATTTTGTATTTCTAATTCTTAATCCTTCCTGTAATGCTTTTCCAAAATTATTCTCTAAACTTAAAAATGCAAGTAGACCATTTCATTCAAAGAATCTTAGTCAATATTAATTATATGTAAGGCACCTGATTAAGCATTAGATTTACAAAGTAATAAACCAGACAAGATTTTTTTGTACCAATAATTTACATAGATTATAAAGATTTATATAGATTAAATAGATTATATGTAAACTATATGCTTTAAAAATGCAGCCATGGGGCACCTGGTTGGCTCAGTAGGTTAAGCATCTGCCTTCGGCTCAGGTCATGATCCTGGAGTCCCAGGCTCGAGTCCCATGTCTGGCTCCCTGCTCAGCGGGGAGTCTGCTTCTCCCTCTCCCTCGACCCCTCCCCCTGCTCCTTCTCTCTATGTCTCTCTTTCACTCACTCTCTCAAATAAATAAATAAATAAAATATTAAAAAATAAATAAAAATGCAGCCATTAAAAATGATCATTAAGGGGCGCCTGGGTGGCTCAGTTGGTTAAGCGACTGCCTTCGGCTCAGGTCATGATCCTGGAGTCCCTGGATTGAGTCCCGCATCCGGCTCCCTGCTCGGCAGGGAGTCTGCTTCTCCCTCTGACCCTCCCCCCTCTCATGTGCTTGCTCTCTCATTCTCTCTCTCTCTCTCAAATAAATAAATAAATAAATAAATAATAAAAAAAGATCGTTAAATATAAGATACAATATTGTCAATGTTCTTTTGAGTTTGCAAAGTTTATTACAGTTATTGGATAAATATAAGCACCATCTTTGGACCGAGGATGGACCTGAGGTCTAAAGGGGAAAAAAAATAGTGTATATTTTACTCATTGTATAGAAAAAATCTGAACTAAAACCATTAAGAGGATGTGAGAAGGTAAAGGAAGTAAACATAAGAAAGCTAAGATGGTTATCTATCCTAATAGCAATACGAAAGGTAATGTTCAAAAATAAGGACTCAAAATGTACATGTTGTTTAG